CACAGAGGGAATAGAAATGCCCATCTCATAGTCTTTCCCTGAAAAAAGCCTGTTTGTATACCTTAAGAGATACTGCTTGAGGGTCTGGCTTCATCTTGGTGCTAAGATCTTCTCCTCTGGGACACTGACATGTCTTGGCACACCCCCAACCACTTGGAGTTTCTAAGAACAAAGAAGGTGGCTTGGACAATCACAGAGTTTTGAGAGACGGCCAAGAGCTGGTGCTGAATGATAATGTTCATCTCCTACGCAAACCACTTCCTCAAGAGGGAACAAGTGGCTATTTTATCTGATGCTCAGAAATCAACACAGAAAATCAGGGAAAATGGGGTAACAGAGGAATATATTCCAAATCTACAAGATACAACTCAAGAAATTGAGGTAAGTGATTTACCTGATGAAGAGTTCAAAATGATTGTCATAAAGATATGCTCACCAAGGTCAGGAGAACAATGCATGAACAAAGCAAGAATTGCAACAAAGAGATACAAAATATTTAAAAAGTACTGAACAGAAAATACAGACCTGAAAAATACAATAAATGAACTGAAAATTTTAATAGAGGGATTCTATATCAGAATAGATCAAATGAAAGAAAGGGCTAGTGAACTCAAAAATGGAACAGGGGACTTCATTAGGTCACAAGGGCAGAAAGAAAAAAGAATGAAAAATAGTGAGAATAGCTTAATGGACTTAGACAATGAGACAACATCAAGCAGATCAATATTTGCACTTTTGGGGTCCCAGAGAAAGAGAGTAGGAAAGGGATAGGAAGCTTATTTGAAGAAATAATGGCTGAAAACTTCCCTAACTTGGGGGAAGAAACAGATATCTACATCCAGTATGTCCATAGAGTTCCAAATATGTTGAATCTGAAGAGACCAACACCAAGACATTTTACAATTAAATCATAAAGATTACAAAGAAAAATTTTAAATTTTCTTTAGAAGAATTTTCAAGAAGAAAATCTTAAAAGCATCAGGAGAAAAACAACTTACTATGTATAGGGGAAGTCTTATAAAATTAATAACAGATTTTTCAACAGGAAACAGTTTCTGCAGGCCAGAAAGGAATGAAGAGTTTTCCAGATAAGAAAAAGCTCAAGGAGTTCATAACCACTAGAGTGGCCTCATAAAATTGTTAAAGGGCCTTTTGTAAACTAAAATGAAAGGATGCTAATTAGTAACAGGAAAATGTATGAAAGCACAAATCCCACTGGTTAAACTCAAAAGAATATGCAAATGTTTTAGTGGCACTGTAACTGTCTTCAAAAGGCCATTCCACCATTCTATCAAACCAGCTACTTCAAGATGATGTGGGAACATGTTAAGACAAGTGAATTTCATGGGCATAGGCCCAGTGCAGCATATCTTCTGTCGTGAAGTAAATTTCTTGATTTGAAGCAATGTTGTGTGAAATATGATAGTGGACAGGCATTCTGTGAATCTATAAATGGTAGTTCTGGCAGAAGCATTGAATTCAGGGATGGCAAATCCATATCCAAAGTGTCTATTACAGTAAGAACAATACACTTCCACTTCTACGATGGACATAGTTTAATGTGATCAATCTGTTACCAGGTAGCTGGGTAATCACCCTGGAGAATAGTGTCATATTGTGGACTCAGTGTTAATCTTTGATGATGACAGGTGGACACTCAGGAGTGGCTTGTAACAGTGTCAAACTGTGAGTGGAAGTCCATGTGGCTAAGCCCTGATATCCTCCATCCCTCCCACCATGGCCGCTTTGTTTATGAACCCATTGAGCTGATTGGGGTGACGATGGGAAAAAAGTGATGGTATCCCCTTGATTATTAAAATTTCCTTTGCTGAAGTCACCCATGAGCATTCACATGGACACAGATATCTTCTTTTTTTGCCCATTCAGAGGTCTGTCCACCTATCCCTTACTCAAATTTCCTTCTTATCAATTTTTCAATCACATTTCTTCCATATCCCTTACCAATTCAGTCAACCATTGGCCGTAGCCCATGAATGAACTGTTGTGTAATTGCACAGATTACCATTTCTCCTTCCAAGTAAAGTGAACAACTGGGTGCATTGTTAAATATTCTGCCCACGGGGAGTGTTTCCCTTCACCACTCATTAAGGGGTGTTCCAGAAGACTATATAATGCCGTAGCTGTTCACTTTTGGGTGGTACCTACCTATCATGTAGAACCAAATGTAAACCGGGCAAAGTCTTTTCTTCTATTAAATAATCACAGGGAGGTCCCCATGAGGCCATAGGTACAGGGTTTAAGTGCCCCCTTATTCTACCTCTTGTTCTATTCAGGCCTTGTGTTTTATTTATGTTTTGTTTTCTGTTTATGTACATGAGTAAACAATGTGTAGTGTTCCTTTCTTTTGTAGTCTATTTCTAGTTTTTATATCAGAGTTAAACTACCCTATTAAGGAAGCCATCTCCTATTCTAAGAGTTTTGTAAGATTAGAATATCTGTTATTTACATGTTTGGTAGAACATTACAGATGAGATAAGGTTGTTTGGGTTTTTTGTTTTTTACTGCTGATTCAGTTTCTTTAAAATGTATACAACTATTTTCAGGTCTTCTATTTCTTGAGTCAGTTTAGTCTTTTTTTATTTTTCTAGAAATTTATCCATTTTACCACAGTTTCAACATTTTTGGCATAATGTAGATCATTTACTCTTTTATTATCCATGCTGCATTATGAGTAATTTCCTCAAATTGCTGTCCTTGTCCTGAAGACCAATTATTTTCTTAGCTGAATCTAATCTGCTCTTAAATAGGGTTTTTTTTTCCTGTTTTAATTGTAAAGTATACACACAAAATTTACAATTTTTACTGTTTTTAAATGTACATTTATCTGACAATGTATTCAGTGTTGTGCAACCATTTTCACTATCCATTTTCCAGACGTTTTCATCATCCAGACAAAAATTCTTTACACATTAAGCAAAAACTCTCCAATCCCCTGGTAGTTTGTATTTTCTCTGTCTCTATAAGTTTGCCCCCAAATTCCAGATACTTCATATAGGTGGCATAAAACATCTGTCTTCTGTATTTGGATGATTTTACTTAAAATAGTGTTCTCAAAATTTACTCATGTAGAACTTCTTTCCTTTTTATGACTGTGTAATATTTCATATAGCTATATACCACATTTATTTTTCCATTTGTTGATTGACACTTTGGTTGTTTCTACCTAAGCTAACTATCAATAATATACCTGTGAACATTGGAGCACAGATATATTTGAATCCCTGTCTTCAGTTCTTTTGGATTTATACTTAGGAGTGGAATTGCTGGGTCATATGCTGAATATATGTTAAACATTTTCAGCAACAGCCCAGTTATTTTGCACAGTGGCTGCACCATTTTGCATTGCCACCAGCGATGTACATTTCTAATTTCTGTACATCCTAGCCAATAATGATTATCTTCCATTTTGCTGATAATAGCCATGCTTGTGGGTATCAAGTGGTATCTGTGTATTTTTTATTTGTATTTCCTAATGACCTGATATTGAGCATTTTTTCATTTGCTGTTGGTCATTTGTGTATCTTCACTGGAAAAATAGCTCTTCAGGTCAATTGCTCATTTTAAAATTGGATTGTTTCTTTGTTGTGTTGAATGGTTTTTTTTAATATATTCTGTTTTAAGATATTTTTTTCTCATTCTGTGAATTGTCTTTTCCCTCTCTTAATAGTCTCTTTTGATGTGTAAAAGTTTTTAATTTTGATGAAGTGCAGCTTACTTATTTTGTCTTTTGTTGCCTCTGTTCTTGTAATACTTAAGAAATCCTTGCAAATCTAAGGTCATAAAGAATTCCCCCTTCTGTTTTATTCTAAGAGTTTTTATAGTTTTAGCTCTTTAGGTCTTTGATCTATTTTCAGTTAATTTTTATGTAAAGTGTGAGGTAAAAGTCCAGTTTCATTCTTTTGCACCATTTTTGTTTCTCTGCACCAATTATTGAAAAGGCTGTCCTTTACAAATTGAGTGTTCTTGCCACCTTATTGAAAATGAATTGTCCATGTATGTAAGGGTTTATTTCTGGACTCTATTCTATGCCATTTGTGTATTTGTCTATCATCATGCCAGTACCACATATTTTCTTCTACTACCAATGGCCTTGGGTGAGATAGGCCAAGTGCCTTCTGTGGAGTTAGGTATATTGCTACTTCACACACTAAATGCATCACTATTTGGGTGTTGAATTTCTCAACTTCATGTTAGGTTCCTCAAACTGACCACCTACCTTGCATGAGGTCCCAGCATTCTTTCCTTTACCTTGAATACTGTGCTAGTTGAAATCCAGGCTATAGGCTACTGTGAATAAGCAGATGCCTTCAGAATAAATTTTGGTTCCAGGGCTCTCTTATCCTATGGAACTGTATTTTCTCATCTTATCTGACGTCTCTTTTGTCCCCACAATTGTTGGTTAGAATATGCTTTAAATATAAGTCATACGTATATTATTGTACATTTTCAAATGTTTTTTACCAGGAAAGGATTGTCTGCACATATATTCAACCATATAAAAGTTGAGAAGATTTTTAAAATCAGTTTTGTAATCCAGTATTGATAATCTTGTATGTAATTGGAAATGATGACTTAAAGCATTTACATAAGTTTTTCGTAGCAACTGCCATTTTAATGACATTATGTGCTTTTATAATTTTCTATATGATTATTGTGTTACTATATTGGTAATTTAGATATGGTAACATGACTTCCTAGGTGCCAGTTTTATGAAGTGGTTGTTAATATTTTGCATTTTGAGATAGAATGTTCTTAAAAAAAGACTACACAAATCAAGAAATAACATAGTTAACACGCACATTTCTCAGAAGTTGCAGTTTGTGTAGGAGAGATGCAATTATTTTTTCATAGAAAACTGTACATTTTTGGTTTTTGAGAGAACAAGTTGCATTTTCTTAAACATTACTATAATGAATTTTTCTTCTTTGCCTTCCTTAGTTTTGCAGTCTTTAATACTTGCATGCTTCATTTTTTTTCAGGTTTTCTTTAGGTGATGCGAGGAGGCCTCTTCATGAAACAGCAGTTTTGGTAGAAGATGTGGTGCACACTCAGTTAATTAATCTGGTAAGAGCATATATAATCTTATTTGGCATCTCCTCTGCATTCTGCTTATATTGGCATTATACCACCATACTTTTTTTTTAAAGATTATATTTACATTTGGAATTATTTTTTGTCAACCTTATTGAGGTATCCTGTGCATAGAACAAAATTTCAATAGTTTAAGTGCATAATTCAATGAGTTTTGACAACTGAATATTGTCATTGACTATCAGCACAATCATGATGTAGAATATTTCCATCATCCAAAGAAGTTCCCTTGTGCCTCGGTGTAGTCATTTCTTCCCACCCCTTGATCCCTGGTAACACTGGGGTGTTTTTCTATCACTACATTAGTATAGTTTTTGCCAATCTCTTTTAAAAACTTTTTATTTTGAATTTTAGATGTATAGAAAAATTGCATGAATAGTACAGAGAACTCCCAGATACCCTTCAGCTTCCTCTGTTAGTATCTTACATAACTACTGCAATTAGCAAAACCAGGAAATGACATTGGCACAATACTGTTTAATAAAATTAACCAACCTTATTTCAGTGTCATCAGTTTTCTCTTTAATGCCCCTATTCTGTTCCAGGAGTCAATCCAGAATAACACATTTTAGTTATTATGCCTTTGTAGTCTTCTCCTATCTACTATAATTCATCAATTTTTCCTAGTCTGTCTTGACCTTGGCACTTTTTGAAAAGTAATAGTCATTTACTTTGTGTTTGTGGAATGTTCTTCTTTTTCAATTTATCTGATGTTTTCTTAAGATTAGAACATGACTATGCATTTTTGGCAAGAATACCAGAGAAGTGATGGGTTCTTCTCAGTGCATCATCTCAACAAATTCATGTTGTTGATATCTTATTTGTGATCTTAATCTTGATGATGTGAACTAAGGTGGTATATACTTAATTTTTCCACTAATGATATTACTGATTTTTTTCATTTTGTTGTTGATAAATATCTTGAGAGAGATATTTTGTGACTATGCAAATGTTTCTTATTCTGAGAATTTTTGTCATTAATTTTAATTTTCATCAGTGAATCTTGTCTGAGATAGTTATTACTATGGTATTTGCCTGACAGTGGTTTTCTATTTCCTTCTTTTCTATATTTAAATTGCAATTATTATGAAAGGAATAGCTATCATTTATCACCATTTATTTATTCAATTTTTAATAGATAAATTATTTTTAAATGTTATTCTTAGGATCATCATGCAGTAATATCATTACTTACTATTATTGTTCAAGTTGTTCCAGTGTTGGCCATTAGTAACATTTTCATGTCCTTTCTCCATTTTTCTATCAGGTTTTTGATTCTATGTCCCATAAATATTATAGATACCAATCCTTGTTTGTGGTATATGATACAAATATATTCTTCCAGTGTGTCAGTTATCTTTTAACTTTGTTTTCACAGGGTTTAGGGGTATAAAGTGTTTTTATTTTGACATAGTCAAATGCATTGATCTTTTATTGCCTTTGGATTTTGAATCATAGTTAGAAAAACTTTCCTTATACTGAGTTTAAAGAGTTCATCTTTCCTAGTACTTGTACATTTTTAACAGTTAGATTCTTAATTGATTTGTAATTTATTCTTACTGTTGTGTGAGATATGGTTCTAATTTTATCTTTTTCCAAATGATACCCAGTTATACCATCACTGTTTCTTAAAAAGTCTGTACTTTCCCTAATGATCTGAGATGCCTCCTTTAGCATATGCTAACTTAGTATATGTGTTGGATCTATTTCTGATTTTATATTCTGTAGCAATGTTTTATTTTTCTGTGCATCTGCTAATACTACCTTTTTAATATAGGTTTTTGTGGTATATATTAAAGACTGTTACCGCAGATTCCTCTTGCAACTTTTCTTTCTCAGTGTATTCCTGACTTTCTTGTATGTTTATTTTTTCATATGAATGTTACTATTAAATTTTCTAGCTCCATAAAATAGCATGTTGGTGTTTTATTGAGATTGCATGAATTTACAAATTAAAAAGAACTGCATCTTAAGAATGTTGAATCCTTTTTTCAAGACTACTTTTGTGTCTTTTATGAGTGTTTCAACATTTTTCTTTTTAGGCTTCACATATTTCTTGTTAGATTTATCCCTCAGTATTTAATCTTTGTTGCTATTGCAAATGGGCTTTCTCTATATTTACATAATGGCTGAAAATTCTGACATTTATCAAAATGTATAGAGGATAAACCCAAAGAATACATGTTTGAACTGTTGAATACTAAAGACATAATATAAATCTTAAAGCACCCAGATTTTTACCATAGGGCAGGGGAACAATGATTTGAGACAGGAGAATTTTCATTAGAAAACATGGAGACAAGGAGGAAATGGGAGAACAGTTTTAAAATACTAGATACAGGATTTTCAGTTGGCAACTATTTTTCTCTGGCTCCATGTTCACATGGCCTTCTGTCCTTTGTCTCTGTGTCTCCATGTGTTCACTCCTTTTATGAAAACATCAGATATTTTCTATTTAGTGCTATTGTTATCATATATATTAAATCTGTAGGTTGTATTGTCTTCATGTGTAGTGTTGTAGTTTTTCCTTTAAAGAGTCATATGTCTTTTAAAGGAATAAAGAAATGAAAGTATATATATTTAGTATTTTTACATTTACCCACGTTTACTATTTTTCATGCTCATCATCCTTTCTTATAGATCCAAGTTGCCATTTAAATAATTTCCTTCAGCCTGAAGAACTCTTAACATTTTTTTTTGATATCATTAATGTCCAATTACTTGAACAACATTATGGTTACTAGACTCCCCCTATTATGAAGTCCCCCCCACATGCCCCATTACAGTCACTGTCCATCAGTGTAGTAAGAAGCTGTAGAATCATTACTTGTCTTCTCTGTATATACTGCCTTCCCCATGTCCCCACCACCCTACATTTTGTGTGCTAATCGTGATGCCCTGAGAACTCTAACATTTTTTGTAGTACATGTGTGCAAATGATGAATTACCTTAAGTTAATTTCATCGGAAATAACATTTTTCACCTTCATTCTTGAAATATATCTTTTCTGTATTTGAAACTCTAGTTGATAACCTTTTCCTTTTAGCTATTCAAATGCACCACTCCAGTATTTAAGGAAATACATTAATTTCTGATGACAAGTCATCTATCATTTATTCCCCTATATATTAACATGCCTTTCTCTGTCTGATTTCAAGATTTTTCTCCGTCTCATTGGTTCTCAGCAGTTTGATGTGTCTAGGACTGATTTTCTTCATGATTATCTTGCTTGCAAGTTCATTGATCTTGTTGTATATGTAAACAAATGTTTTCTGCCAGTTTGCAGAAGTCTTCACTCAGTATTTTTTTCCTGTCTTTCATTCTGGGATTACAATTGTATGTGTGTTGGACACTTTGATATCTGAGGGCCTCAAATTTTCCTTCAAACTGTTTTTCCCTCTGTTTTGTTGTTGTGTTTAGCTTTTTAGTTTCTATTGCTTTATCTTTTAATTTTCCTCTCTGTTTGATAATCTTTAATCACCTATTTAATCAATCTAGTATATTTTTCATTTTAGTCCTTGTATATTTATTATACTATTTGAAAATGTATCTTGTTGGCATATTTGAAAATACACCTTTTTGGATTATGGCTACACATTTTTGTATTCTTCCATTTTAAATATAAAAGTTGGAACATTATTTTATGATGTGTGTTAGAGTACTATAGATAATAAATAGCTTATGTCTTCACTGATAATGAAAAACCTCTTCATTATAATGTATGTTTACCTCTCCTTTATGTGTGTCATTTGGGTAATAGTTTTTATATCTGTTTGTAAGATTGGCCTTGTCCAGATCTCACTAAACATAGAGTGAGAGATCTTGCTAGAAGAAGGCCTTGCTTTTTCTTTTTTGCCATATTGAGGCATATATCAGAGCAAGTTCTTCAGATGAAAGGAAGGTAACAAATGGTTTTAAAGAGTTAGTCTTTTCTTACCATTGAATATTATGCAGCCATTACAAATTAATTATGTGTGTGTTCATGCTCTATTTTGTAATTCTCTATCCATATACCTTTTAAGATCAGTTTTTTCCTTTCTCTTTTTCCATGTTTCTTGACATATAATTGACATGATATTTTCTAAGTTTAAGGTATATAATGAGATGATCTGCTATATGTTTTCACTGCAAAATGATTACCACAATAAGTTTAGTTAACATATCCATTACCTCATATATTTAACCGTTTTTTCTGTGTGTAATGAGAATATTTAACATCTACAGTCTTAGCAACTTTCAAGAATACAATACAGGATTATTAAGTATATTCACCATGCCGTACACTAGGTTAGGTTCTCAGAACTGAATCATGATATAATTGGAATACTGTATCTTCAAATAACATATTTTTCCTTCCTTCCCATCCCTCAAACCCTGGTAATCACCAGTCTGCTGTTTCTCCAAGTTCATCTTTTTTTGGCTTCTGCATTCAGTGGGATCATGCAGTGTATTTCTTCTCTTTCTGCCTTATTTCATTTAGCATGCTCTCAAGGTTTATACATGTTGTTGTGAATGGCACTTTCATGTGTATTTTACTTGATTGCCATTAAATCTTACTGAAGAAAAAAGAGAGGATATTATTTTTTCCAATTTGAATGGCAAAATGTAGAGAGAAGACTTGCCCCCCAAAGTCACAGCTTATTAAGTTCTGGTGTTGGAACCAGGACTGAGGCCTCCTGATCTCTGTCTGTGTAATTTGGTGGGGTGGAGGTGGGGTATTTCTATTTTTGCTAGAGTTGTATGATATCCCTGTTGTGTATTTTGGATATTGACCAATTATGAGATACATGGTTTGAAAATATTTTCTCCCTTTCCATAGGTTACCTTTTCTTTTTGTTGATTATTACTTTTGCTATTCAACAGCTTTTTGGTTTGATGTGGTCTTGGTTATTTATTTTTGCTTTTATTTCTTATGTTTTTAGTGTCATGTCCAAAAAACTACTGCCAAAACCAATATCAAGGAGTTTTTCCTT